AAGCTGAGAGGGGTGTTTGTTCAGCAGGCTTGAGGACTATGGTGCAACCAGCAGCCAAGGCAGGAGCAACCTTGCCAACAAACATGATGCTGGGGAAGTTCCATGGAATGATAAGTCCAACAACACCAATTGGTTCCATCAAAGTGTATGCATGGAACTCCCTTCCCGCTTTCAACACCTCTCCATGAATTTTATCAGCAGCACCAGCATAGTAACGTATGGTTCTTGCTGCTCCAGGGATTTCACCACCCTTGAGGATATGGTACAACTTCCCTGCATTAATTGCATCCAATGCTGCTATTTCTTCCACGTGCTGCTCGATTAGTTCTGCCCATTTCATCATAATTCTTCCTCTTTCCTGATTAACAGAATATCCATTTAATCACACGCTAATTAAGCACGTCAAAACACTGACACACAAAAAAAAAATGTTATTATAGATACATGTTGGTATAAATATATATTTCTTAGTTTGTGTTTAAAAAGTTTGTGGCTACTGCACATGAATCGTGTCTAGTTTGGCTTGCTACTTTTAACAAATGGAACAAGATATCACTGTCAACATCCCATGTGATTAGGTTGCAAAGATAATGCTGTGCGGTGTAGCGTTGGTCTGAGCATTTATGTTCATTGGATTTTATAACAAGTATCACAACATTATTTGTTCACCAATCATAATTCTTGGATATTCAAATAACATCAAATATCCTACTGGCACCATGCATTATTTTATCTTTTTTAGTATTATATTATATTTCATAATCAATTATTATAATTATTTATCTCTTTTGCAGAGTTGCAGGTCCAAATATAAGTCAAACTCAAAAGTCAAAACTCCTAAACACAAGGTACCTCGAGACTCCGGTGGATAGCTGACTACAACACTCTTTCAAATATTTCAATCCTTATTATGTCATCATCCATAAATGCTATATATTCAAATCACACCCTGTTTTAGTAATATACATATTTATAGGATTTAAAGAAACAGATGATATCCCATTAATTAGGAGAAAGAAATGGAAAACGAACCAAGTTCGTATAACAAGTTTAAAACACGATAGAAAAGAAAAAGTAAAGAACGAAATAATGAAAAAATTGAAAAAGAAAGTAAAGTTATTAAAAAGTTAAAGTTGAAAAAAAATATTATCTCTAATCAATTTTAAAATAACAAGTAAAATGAAATAAAAGTTTCCAAAAAAATTATTTTAAACTGGAAAATATATTTTGATAAGTTCTACCATTCTCATGTAAATTTGTTGGGTTTTAGAACTGTCAATTTTAAATTGATAATAATTAATTTTGTATTTAATTTTTGTTAGGTCAAATTAGTATAAATATTTTTTCATTCTTTATCTCATAGTTCTTAAATTGTATCTCTGAATTTCTATTAAATAATTAATATCTGGTTTAAGAAGGTTGCAATGTATAGAGAAAAGTTATATAGATACAGAGCGTGTAACTAAATGAAAAATGAAGTGTACCAAAATCATATATTTTTACAGTGTCGGTATGTATCAGTTGAAGGATGTAGGGTCCTGCTATTTTTTTTTTCTTTCTTTTTCTTGGTCTGCTAAGATTAATTAATAAAAAGGACCACGCCCTATTCGCATAGTTTTCATAAAACGCCAAATCATTTTAATTTTTTGTGTGTCACAGAGTCACAATGTTGACCTTATGTCTTTATCTGTGCAATAATACATCATGTGTACAGACAAAGCTTATATTATATTAAGAAAAATCCATTTCCAGGTATTCAAAAAATACCTGCTGCATGTGCACTCAGGATAGCACCTTTAAAATTCCTAATAATTTCGATGTTATTATTTACACAATTTTGATATGGAAAAATTTGGTAAATATTATAAATTGTTAATAGTTAATAATATAAAAAAGAAACTTGTTTATTTTTTTTTTGCAATTTTAAATATAATTTTTAAAAGTATTATTACAAAATTTAATGTCTTTACATAATATGACAACGAAAACTTAGCAAATAATATAAAACATGTATATTTTATTGTATTTTAATTATATTTCTTTATTTTTCCATTTTTTCTCTTAAAACTATAATGTGATATTTATCATATAATATTAAAAAAAATGTTAATCTGCAGATGGGGACTAAAAATAGTTTTTTTTTTATATATATATACCTACTGAAAATAGTTAAAAGCTAGTTTTAGCCAGTTGGCTTGAACAAAGAATCTTTTATTTTTATTTAAAAGAGTAACATCAGAATAATTGTGTAATTCTATCACGATGATAAATAATAATATCAATTATATTTATTTAACTTCTAATTATAATTTCTAATAGATGCTATTGTGTGTTATTCAATTTAAATATTATATAATTTATAAAGAATCTTTCACTTTCAATATAAAGTATGAATCTTATATTATTTTATTTAAGTTGTTCAATAAAATATATTAAAAATTAAAATAAAATTATTTAAATGTTACCAACCAAACTAATTAATAACTATTTAATGACCAAAAAAATTAATAACCATTTATTTTTATTTTAAATTACTGTTTTCACCAATTAAATGATGGGTCCCATTTTCAAAAGCTTTCTTTAAATTCAACTATGCGTGATGCATACCAACATTGAACATTTCTCAAATTAATTTCTAATAAAGTCAAGCTATAGTATGTGTCAAGCACGGAGATGAGATGAGCCGTGAATCATGCTAATTGACATTGTTATCTCTTTGTTATGTTTGTTCCCGAAATGTAGAAAATTTCAAAATAGCTGAAATAAGTTTCTAATTTTAAGATTTCATTTAATTTTTAATTTATATATAT